CCCCAAAACCCCAAAACCCCAAAACCCCAAAACCCCAAAACCCCAAAACCCCTTTTAAACAGTATTTAATTGAGACGTCACATAAAAATAACAAATGGATGACCATAATTACATAATGTGCACTTCAATGGCACAATACTTACAAGAAATGGATAGTATTCTTCAGAAGAATACGATTCAAAAAAGCCCTGAGGACTTTTTGGAATTAACTTCAGAAGGAAAGGGATCTAGTCAAGAACAAGAAAACCAGTTCAGTCTTGATCAGATCCCTGATAGGAGCGTTGCACTAGACTTCGGCCCCAGTAGCATCTTTAATGAAGATGTTTACACTGAAAGTCCAGCTCTGGAGAGTATAAATCCTTCCGGTTGAGCTCCTGCTAATCTTGAATCAGTAAATCTGGAACCACAAAGTTCAGCAGATCAAGAAGCAGTAGTCCTCTGCACGGATGAAGATCACAAAAGCAATATTGAGGATGATTTACAGAAATTAGCCATCTCAATTCCGAAAAGGAGAGAAATGAAAAGGGAAAATTTACCTAAAATAGATGAATCCTTTAAGGCTCCAAAGGAAAAGTCTAAAGGCAGGGTCTCCGATAAAGAAAGGGCCCGAAAATCACGCTTAAGAAAGAAGAAATATTACGAAGATCTTGAAAAGAAGGTCGTGCAACTCGAGGATCACTGCAAGAAGTTGACTCAAGAGGTGAAATTTTACAAAGAAAAGGCTTTGAGCCTTCAAAAGCATCAGGAAAGTACCACTTTCAAGACCCATCTTGAGAAAGAAGTGGATCTCATGAATGCTCTCCAGGAGAAAATCAAAAGCATAGATAGTGATAACTTAAAAGTCTTCGAGACTCTCACTGAAGTTGGTAAGAACTTCTGTGGGTATGGTAAGAATAAACTACAAGTCCTCGAGCAGTGCTTCGACCAGTTCCTTGAGAATACCCTCATGGGATGGGACTTCAAAGCATGTCTATACTCTTGTGATAAGGAGTTCCCAAAATCATTCGATGAGCTACAGAAATACGCGAGAATGAAAAAGTATGAAAAACATGACCAATATCTTGACGAAAAAGTTCGCGATTTCATCGATGTAAACTGCTCTTTAATGAAAACTGAGGAGGAATATAATAATTTCTTGATCAATAAGCTGCCAGCCATTCGGGAGACAAAGAGAGCTCTCCAAAAAGGCATAATGGAGCTGTTCCAAGCCAAACAAACTATTTATAAGGCATTGATCCAGAACCAAGTCTCTTGTGAAGCTATGGAGCCTACCCTAGATAAGAATGGGTTCATAGCCTTCCTTGAGGCTATGAAGAATAGCAATATGAAGATCACATATCGAGAAGCGTTTGGAATTGAGGAAGAAGAGGTCGACGTTGACATAAATTACCATTTCCCATGCCCAACTACATTCAAAAAATTCACAGTCACAGCAATGGGATCTTCTCCAGACTCACCTGAGGTAGAAGAGGTGTCTGGGAAATACAAGATCAAGGTCCTCAAAAATCATGACAGAGTTGCTTGATGAGTAGGCTAAAGTTTATCAAGAACAAATGCTAATCTGTCGTATTCCAGTTGAAAATTTCTCAATAATTCAACCGTGAAAAATAAAAAAGGGGTTTTGGGGTTTTGGGGTTTTGGGGTTTTGGGGTTTTGGGGTTTTGGGG